AAGCACAACAATCGACTCAAATGCCTCCATATTTTTAATCTTTTATGGAGACATTTGATTACCGATATGCGACCATGGATTCGCGCTTTAATTCTATAGAGTCCCATTTATCCACAATGGGAGCTCAACAATTAGAAATTCTTTGGGAAATGCGTACAAATAATGAAGCAACCAACGCATGTATTAATGACCTCACTAACGAAATGGCCGCTATGCGAGCTCGTTTTCCTCCTCCTGATCCGGATATGTGATTAAATGTTTTACTTTCCAAACTTATTGTTTTAACATTTTGAATATTTTGGAATGTTTGAATTTGTGGATTGTGAATTTGTTTGAATTTATGGATGGTGTGAACTTATATGTTTGGTGTGATTTATTCATTATTGCATCATTTACATCATTATTAGCAATATGACCAATTTTACCATATCACATTGTTTATGAATATTGATTATGGAACTAATGGCTAACGGTTCTCTTGATTGTGATCTTAGCAGCTTATGCATACATATATCTAATCAATTGGCTAAATATTTTTTTCACGTTTATTTGAATCTTTTTGATTTAACAAAAAGGGGGAGAAGTGTGTTTTAAGTGTGTTTTTAAAATGATAAATGGGAGAAGTGTTAAAGTAAGGGGGAGTAATTTCAAAACTTGATTTCAAAATCTTAAAATTACTAAAATGTTTTGTTATATCAAAAAGGGGGAGATTGTTGAAAACATTTTGATATTTCGATATAACAAATAAAGTTAAATGAATTTTAAGATTTTCCAAAATGATTTTCTAAGTATATTCGATATAATTATTCGAATATCAAAACATTACTCAAAATATTTCAAAAATCATTTTTAATCCTTACTTAAGTGTAAAATTAAGTTTTAATCTTAAAACAATTTCAAAATAATCTTTCAAAGTATTTCGAACCATTTCAAAGCCAAAAATTCCAGATTGCTCAGAGGGAACCGATTCCCCCCCAAGGGGGTACCGATTCCCCCTGAATGGTTTGGCTCCGAGATTTCCAGAATGCTCGGAGGGAACCGATTCCCCCATAGGGGGTACCGATTCCCCCCTGTTCAACGGTCGAAATATTTGAATTTTACACTTAGGGAACTGATTTCCTATGAGGAGGAACCGATTCCCCCCACGCTCCAAGCTGTTTTATTAATTGTTTTCACACTAAAACGGCTATATTATCTTCATTAATTATCCCCAACGTTCAGAAGTGATTCAAGGTGTATTTAAACAAGTTCTGAAGCCCTTGATCAACAAGAAATCATAGAGAAACAAGAGAGAAAGCATCAAACACCAAGTTTGTGCAAATCAAGTCAATTTTCCTTTCAATATTCATTTTGCTTTCAAAAACACCATTTGTGCTCATTTGTAATTATCTTTGAGTGTTCTTTTCTTGTTCTAGAATTGTGCAAACATCTTACCTTGTGTGGTTTTCCTTGTAAGTTTGTAAATTTGTAATCTTCTCTTTGGGAAAAGAGTGTTCTCAAGAATTGGGGTGTATTCTTCAGGGTGTTGTAAGGTTATCTCTTTGGCCTCAAAAGAAAGAAAAATTAGTGAATTTGTTGGAAATCCTTAGTTGTGGATAGCTAAGGTAGTGGACGTAGACTTTGATTGAGAAAGTCGAACCACTCTAAATCGCTGTGCAAATCTTTTCAATTTTCTGCAAAAGCTTCCACCGAATTTTTAATTGTCAATTCACCCCCTCTTGGCTAATTCCGTCGATCGATTAACTCAACAATTTTCATTTTCCATATCTTATATTGTCAAATTTATCTAAAAAATTATAAAATAATTAATTAAACAAATTATTTCAATCAAAAGTATAAAAAATATACTTTTACGTACGAGGAGAACTGTGATAAATCTAAAAGCATGCATTGCACGTGTTCATGTTGGGGTATTAACAATTAACTAGGGGGTAAGCATCCGATCGAATCGAGTCAAGTTAAAAAGTTTTGAGTTAGTTGAGTTGATGAGTTCTATTTTATAACTCAAAGTTGACATTTTTTTTAGTCAAGTTGATTTTATAAAATTTGAGTCGAGTTGAGTTAATTTTTCAAGTTTTTGTTTAAATTTAATTTATAAATATTTATAATATTATGATATTATTTGATTTTAATTTAAAATTTTTTATAACAATATAAAATACATATATATTTCTTTATATTTTTTCATATATGATATACATATATCATTCAAATTTGAGGGACTTTACTCAAACACAAAAAATAATCCCTAATTACTAAAAACTTTGAGTTATTCGAATTACTATTCGAGTTGTATTTTACAACTTAGTTTGAACTTGAAATTTTTTCGAGTCGAGTTATGAAATTACAACTCGAAGTTAATTCGGATACTCTAAGTTAATTTAAGTCAAAAATTGATTATTTGAATCGAGTCGAGTTTTGCTTACTCCTACAGTTAACCGCGTTAAAATGATCACACTAAACAGTTAAAAAAGAACAAATCAATTGTTACATTGAATGAGAATTTTGTTCTAGAGTTTCTGAATTCGAATATTTACTTTCAAATAGTTGTGTCTAGGGGATGTTTGTATTGTAAATAAATCAAAAAAAAATATAAACAAATATTATTTTATAATCACCACACACTACTCGAAAAGAATTCTATAAAAATGATATAAAAGAATATTGACCTGTTTGGCTCTAGAAAAGATAAGTTATTTTATTTTCATTTTTTAGAAAATAGAAAACGTTGAAAAAAAACGTGTTTGACTGTAAAATTATAAAATAATTTCTTAAAGATAAAATCAAAATTGAATGAAAAAACAAAAACATAAAAATGAAAACAGGAAGTTAAAACAAAATTAAATGAAAAAAACAAAAACATAAAAAAGATGTTTTCAATATTTTTCTCAAAACTTTTTTTTTGAAAATTTGAAAAATATGAAACATGGGATCTAGACTTTTAATTTAACTTATACATATTTAAATCATTCTAACAATAACTTTTTGACTTAATGATATTTGAAATCCTCAAACATTTACAAAAAAAAATTAATATGATCTCTAAACTTTTTTTACAATCAGCCTTAAAATTGGTTTTTTAAGAATTTAATTTTATAATATGTTGATATTTAATATATTAAATACCTTAATAATTTATTTATATTTTACAATTTTAATTCAAATAATTTCTTAAAATTTCTAAAAAAACTAAATAAGTCCTCAAACTTTCAAAAAATCAATTAGTCCCCCTCAAACTTGGTAAAAAATCAATTAAGTCCATCTATCACACCATCGTCCATCGTGTACTACTACAATAGCATCGTTAACTATCACATCAACATTCTATATTGTCATGTAAGCTTTGTGAACTGTCATATAGGCGTTTTGAGTCAACGTTCGATTCCGTTGGTTAAAGGATTAGATTAATTTTTTTCCTCAATTTAATGGTCACATTTAATAAAAAAAAGTTATTGGTTACACTAGCTTTTTTTTCCTTCCAAAATTTGAGGGCCTTAAATACCACTAAAATATTTTTAATTTTAATAACACTTTTATGTGTTCTTGCCATTGTTTTGAAAACCGGACCGGACCGGTCGGTTCAACCGGTTCAACCGAGAACCGTTGCCTAGTCCGGTTTAATTTAAACCGGTTAAACCGCTACTAGTAAACCGGCCAGAACCGTTGAACCATTCGAACCGGACCGACTGAAAACTAGAAAAAACCGGAAAAAATTGGAAATTTTGTTTTTAAAAAAAAAATTAAACCAAACGTCGTTTGTTAAACGAGCCAAGTCGAACTCGAGTATTGCTAAGATCGACTCGAACTTAAAAACTTTAAAAGTAAGCTCAACTCCACTCAAACTCACAAGTTAAAAATTATCAAGTTCAACTCGAACTCGAAATATAATATTGAAACTTGAACTCAAAAAGGATTAAACTAAAAAAAAATTTAGAATCTCAATTGAAGCCTAAAATTCGAGCTTGATTGAAGTGAAAGAATAGTTCACTTAATGCTCACCTAAAGGCTCCATGGTTTTTAATGCCAAATTACCTCTATTATTTATAGAAGTTGGTTGTGATGCTCTTCTATGTTTCTTAGCAATGTGGGATTGTTTTTTTTCTCATATTTTTACTCTTTAGACTTTTGGGATGCTCTTCTATGTTTCTTAGCCATGTGGGATTGTTTTTTAAAAAAAAAATTAAACCAAACAATATCATTTTGTTATGATTTTTTTAGCCCCAATTTTTTTTTAATTATAGTTATATAATTATATTTATTATTTAATATGTTTTACCTTAAATATTATGTTGTAGTTAATTTGAATCATTTTGTTTCACTTGATTTTATGGTTTTTAATTTATATATATTATGACTTGCTTTGAATATTAATTGTGATATAAAAAATTATTTTTTATTAAATATTTTTGGTATTTTTATTTAATTTTTTAAATAATTATGACGTCGTCCGGTTGAACCAGTGAACCGATAGCATGGCCGGTTCGCTAACCGATCCGGTTCGCTAACCGGTCCGGTTCTGAAAACCATGGTTCTTGCTTACAACATGTTTTTGTGCAGTTTTTTAATGTAATTGATATCCGATATGCATTAACATTATAATCTTATTATAAACTAAAATAATTTAGTGTTTTGAAAATTTTATCACCTTTATTGTTTTATATTTACACAATTTTTAAATTTATATAATATTTTTTTAATAATTATAGTTTAATTTAATTATTTAATAACTATTTGTTTATCTCTATTTTAAGAAATTAGATATCAAATATATATGTTATTATGTATAATTTTGAATTCCAATTTTCATCTATATTATCCAAACATAAACATGTTTTCTAATTTTTAAAAAAAACTAAAAAATGAAAATTATTTTCTAAAAACGAACGTCTCCATAAGATTCGGGTTCAAATAATTACCGACTTAATTTTAAATATTCAGTTTTCACAGAACAGTAGAATAATCCATCATACAACATAATTTTATTCCATATATAGTATAGACATCGCTTCTCTCTTCTTCATACATTACATTACAACATCACATGATGATTGAACCTTTTTTTTCACTACTCTTAATGCCCTATTTACATCTTTCATTCTCTTTAACTGTTTTCCAAAACCTTAAGTATAAACCAAGCACCCTATATTTATCTTGTAAAACACAAAAAAAAGGGAACTATTTTTCCACATCTAGCTGTTGCTGCTCTACTATAATCTATATCCACATATTTGTGTATGTGGGGGTAAACTATATTTCAAACACAACATAATGGCCAAGGTTAATATTCTATGATCAGACCTCCCATTGGTGCTTGATGGGGAATCCCCTTCCTTCGTTTCGCAGTCCGGTAATTGACCGACGTAGGAGGCGGTGTTGAAGGACTAATGCTTCTCGCTTTGTTCTTTTTGTGGTGGTTATTCTCCAGCATTCCATTGCTACTGCTGCTGCTGCTGCTGCATGAATCCTCAGAGTCTGATGCCATGGCTAAGTGCCTCTTCTTCTTCTGGAAACTCTTGGATGTGCCAACAATCTGCAATTTCATATGGTCAACAACAAAATACATGTAAAATCAATAACTGAACACTAACAGGATCAACCTCGAAAAAGTCCTACAGTTTTTTCCCAGCTACCAAACAGCTTAATTGGCTACCAAGAAAATTTAGGTTCGATAATATACCTTGCAACCGAGAGAGCAGAAGCGAAAGGAGTCGACAAGGCTTCGATCACAGACCTCACAGGTATTGGTGAAAACAACCTTAGCACTGTTTATAACATAAGTCTGCACTCCAGAAATATCCACATATTTCTGTATCTCAGATACCCTTATCACATCATGGTATGACGATCTCCTAATCTGTCAAATACCATAGCAAATAACATTAGTTAGTTCAAATAAACTTTGGGATTTTGGTAATGAATGAACAATAACAAACAATCCCTTGAGAAATTTGTGATTTTGTTTTGTCTCTTCTGTCAATGAAAAATATGATTTCACTTGTTCACAAGAAAAACGTTTGGCTTTGCTGTTAGAAACTTGAGAAAGGGGCTTGAAAATTGAGTCAATGCCTGCTTGGGTGCCGAGAAAATGTGTAATAGAAAGAGAATACTCGAACTTTGATCTTTTGGGTAAATTTTGGAAAAACTGAAGAAAAACAAGTCGATTAAGAAATGTGCTCAGAGATTGAAATAGCAGTACATTGTCAGAATGCTACTATTATATATGATAAAATATCTTCCGTAATAATCGTAATGATAGGAATAACATCATTCGATAAATACAAGACAACCGAAAACTCGTAATTTAAATCCCTGAATGTACTTTAGATGAAAACAAACTCGATCGAGAAAGGACATAAAACTGTATCCCAGAATCGAAAACACGAATGCCATGAAAGAATTCCTCTAACATCTCATTGAAGGAAATGACACCCAATTGACAAAAACAATGGAAAAATCAAAGCAAGATGAAAATATGAAGGAAAATATTGAACCTGAGTACAACGATGATCCTTATGATGAGCAAGGCAGATAGAACAGAGAGCGCCATTCATGCAATCTAAGCAGTACATATTGCATTCGCTCTTGTGAGAATCACCATGAAGCTTGCATTGAACAAAGAAATGCTCTCTTAACAAAGGTGTCAACCATGGAGGCCACTGGTTGTCTTCATCATCAGGCCCACCAGCCCCCTGTCAAAACGCCATGAACCATTAAGCACATTGCATTAACACACATTTTATACAAAACCCAGATCAAGAAATCGAGATAAAAACGTAAAAAAAATCATCAAAAATATATTAAAAAAATCGAAAAGATACCATGATTCTTCTGTTCTTGGGCTTGATTTCATGGACACTGGGTTCTTGATTTTCGATTGCCAGCTTGAAGTAATAGAGAAAGAGGAGAAAACTCTGGGTAGAGTGAATTGCTGGGTTTAACGTTCCAGTTAGAAGCAGAGCAAACGAGAGAGGGAGAGGATGAAGGCCTAATAGTTAAGTTCAGAGAGAAATAAAACACAAATACTTGGAAAAGAGTAGAGGTCGTTCTTATCTAAGCAAAGTCCACATCCGAATCTAAACCCGAAGCTAAGCTCTCCATGAGAGATGCGTTGGGTGCACGGAACCCACCTCCTCCTTTCCTTTTGATTTCAATTTCGTTTTGATTCATTTTTTTTTTTGGCTTAATTCCTTAATTTAATCAATCTCTTAAAATATAATTTGTACTTTCATTATATGTGTTTTTTTTTGGCATATATTATTTTCTAATTTCTAATAATGTGAGTGAAGTGTAAAGTAGTATTTATTTATAATATTTTTAAATTATTAATAATATATACATGCACTATAAACGTAAATACTCAAATCTAAATTATCTAAGAAAATAATATTTATTTTTATCATTAAGACCATTTAATAAATTATATTATATAAGTTTGAAATATAAAACACTATATATTGAATATAATCGAGTTATTGGCAATGTGTAACTAAGACATTACCTTTTTGAACCCATCAAATGATTAAAAGTAGTGTTTTTATTCTTACAAATTTTAGATTCGAGTAATTTTATCTGTCGGATGTATGTATTGTTAATGATTAAAAAAATATAAACAGATGTTACCTAATAATCACACTAAACTATTAAAAAATACAATATTTTCCTAATTTGATGTTATGAATATATAAAGTTTTCTTAAAATGGTAATTGAATAATTTATCAATGAATGCTTATAATAGGAATCTTATTTTATTGTGATAAAAAAATGTGAGTAAAACTTTTTTAATATAATAAAAGAGTGAAATTATCTCAGCAACTAAAAGGAGGTTTATTATTTATAGATGTTCTAAGTTCAAGCACTAGCAACTGTAAAATATTTAACGTTTATTGTCAAAATGGTTAAAACTCTTTAAAACATATACTACCACCAATAATCATCCTAAATTAATAAGAAAAGATTATTCAAATAAAACAAAATAATTCTTTTAGAAAATATAACAATTTAGGAAATTTTTAATAAATTTTCAGGATTTTAGTTTAGACTATTAAGAGCCTCAGAATTGTCACTCATCATTAAATTTAAATATAAATATGCGATATTATGCTTAGTGTTACCTTTTTAGGTAATCGATAAGATATATGACATTAAATTTTGGAAATATTATGGGCGAGAATTTTTATTTTGAAAAATATTTGTGTTTGAAAATTAATTTAGAATTTAAGTTATTTATTATAATGAATATAAATTTATTATGAGACGATGATGAATTATATAAAATATATTAAAAATAAATTTTATCATATGAAATGAAATAAAATTGTATAAAACTCGTTACTTACTGACAAATTGTCACACCCTAATTTAGCGGCTAGATTTTATTAATTTAAAGTATCAAATTAAAGTCGTAACAAGGGAAAATTTGATGATCAAATTGTAAATTTTTAAAAGTTTGCAGTTCGATTTTTGAACATGTGGGAAGTTTAGTGACTTAACCCTGAATTTTTCCATTTTTCTAGTAAGTGAAAAATAAATCCCCTGGTCGAGTAAGCAAAACCCCAAAATTATCCCTAATTTCCCCGATGAAGTACTATAGCAGAAATAATTCCCAAAGCCACTCATCGCCGTTCATCAGTCACCGCCCAACAGTGGCTTCCACCGCCAGCACCCGGAGAAGCGTCGGTCTCATACGACCAAAACCTCTCGGTCAATTTGTCGAACGGAGCCATTGTTTGTCGTGGAGAAGCCGAAGAAGCTTCGTTGAAACCCCGCCGTCACCACACGATTTTCCTTCGATTCTGATTGATCCAACGATCGTCTTGTCTCACTGCCCTTCCCATCGAGTTCCCCAGCTCTGTGCAATCAAACCCTGACCAGATTAATTTCCCCATCATCGTCCGTTCGCTGTCCACCGTGGTAAGTGCTCTAGTCATCTTATTCCGTCTGATTCACTGTGTTTTGGCTGAGTTTTGATTTGTTTTGGTTGAATTGTGGTGAGTACCTAAACATGGTTTAATCGACCGTCAGAATCGATGCGTCCGTCGTTGTCACGCGTTACCACATGCTATTGTCGCATGTGGGGTTTCTCAGCAAGCAATGAATTTTCTAGAACCGATCCAGTTGGACTGGACCAGACTAAATCGACATGTTTATGTCAAACCGTTTTGAACGAACCAACCAACTTGTATTGAGTCAACTCGAACCAATTTGACCCTTTGACTTTGATTGCCTAGTAACTTTAACTAGAGTTGACTTTGACCAAAAAGTTAAATATTTTGAAAAGTCCTATTTTATGTTTTTCGATGTCTTGAATCCAAATCCAAAGTCCGTTTTTCCAAATTCGCACTCGATAAGCCATTTTTCAGTGATTTGTATTCAATATCAAATTTTGTGTTCCGATTAAGTTAAGTTTCTGACGTAAATTCGTTTGCTATGTATCCGAGAAATTATTGGGCGTTGAATTCAAGTTCGAGGGTGATCGAATGGAGTTTAAATGTTCGATTGGTGGAGCAAAAAAATCAAGGTAATACTTTACTACCTCTTTTCATGATTTATGAAACATATTTATAATGGATAAATGCATGGATGTTTATGATTGATCTATTATGCATGATTAATTATGGATGGACTCGAACTGAATACGGTTTAGGTGATAAATTGGTTAAGAATCGATTGAATTACATAAAGGAATTGGAAGATTGATAAGAAATGATTTCAAGTGCAATGATTAATCTGAAGAGCCAATGACCTCAGAATTATTAAATTCTAATTATTTTCGTTAAAAGGTTTAATATTGGAATTACCTGATTATGAAATTACAAAATTGCCCCTATAAGGTAAAAATGGCCTGGAATGACCTGAGAGCAAAAGTACCTTAAGAATTCATATTTTTAATTCGATAAATCACTAATTTATTAGTTAAATTCACTATTTGCTCAGATAGTCAGTAATAATCGGATCCTAACATTCGAAAAGGTACAAGACCTGTAATTGTTGATTATCAACAAACACCTAAAGATTAAAATATTATAAGTAATATTCTTGCTTGCATTAGTCAGAAAATTTGAATTAAATGGAAAGACTGGAAGAAATGAAAGGAATGTAATAACCTTGAATTGTAATTTAACCAAAATACCCTTGCACTACAAAAAGACCATGACTACCCCTAAGAGCAAAAATAACGCTGAACATAAATATCTAATCAAATTACGATAAAAAGGTACATATGTTTGGATTGATCAAAAGTACCAAAATGTCCTTTAGCTATGAAATAACTAAAATAACCTCTAATGTCCAAATGACCAAAATACCCTGAACTCTAAATGAACTATAATACTTTGAAGCCTAATTTATGGAAAGCAATGCCATTGACAGAATTGAATGGAATGACGTTAATACCTTTAAAGTGTAAAAAAGACTATGGATACACTATGAGAACACCGATGAATCTAAATGATTGTATTGTCTCTAAAAGTTATGGAGCACGACCCAAGTCGTCGGACATTTTGGATACTATTACAAAATGGAAATGAAATAAATACCAAAGGAATACGTATTTGTCTCCTCAAGAATTGATCAGGGATGATTATGATATTGATCAGATCAGCTGGTGCAGACAGTAATAAGAAGTGAATAATAGTGAAGTATCACGGTCCGAATGATTGACAAGTATCGCAGTATTAGGAACTATAGTTCAATCAGACTCGAAAATCCTGATGATTCAATATATAATCTTGAATACCACAAATCATCGCTCTACTCTTATTAGATTAAATTAATAAGAATTCTCCAAGAACCAAATGTCTAAAATGGCTTCCTGATACTCAATTGCCTCCGAAAAATATATGAATACTGTATGATCTTGATAAATCACTTCTTGAATGAATGATGAATCAGTTAGCTATCAAACTCCCTTTTATAGGGATCTTGATTCTGAAATCCTATTAAATTACAAAATTTTCATGGTTCTCTACCTGATAAATACCAAGCATCTCCGAAGAATATCTAGATCTTCTAGTGTGTTCCTTATGTGACATGTGAATGTTTTACCTGTTTTAAAACGTGATTTTTCGAAATCATGATTTACTGGTTTATAAACTATGACTACATGGTATATGTTCTATGGTTACCTATTTTCACAGTAAAATATGATCGTTTATGATTTACAGATTATGGAATCTACTGGTTTATGAACTATGGTTACCTGAAATATGTTATCTGATTTCCTGTTTTCATTGGAAAATATGATCGTTCCTGATTTATGGATCATGAAATCTACTGGTTACTACTTGAACTATTTTATTGGGTTATTATCTAGGTAGGCTAGAGTATGGAGGTTCATCTCTGATCAAGCTGGTAATTCCTTACGGACCTAAGGTGACCTTTGGGTAGGCTCTGAGGCCCCGAGAAACTTTCTTGGTTAGGCTCTCAGGCCCCCAAGACACTACCTTGGGTAAATCATGGGACTACATATGGTGTACGGGTGGAGGACAGTTATATGGTTTATTTTCTTATCACACTTACAAGATTTTACTGGATTATGATCCATATATTAATGTTTACTGTTAAATATGATTTCTACCGGATACTATATAGGTAGAATTCTGGAGTATGGAGGTTCAGCTCTGATCAAGCTGGTAAATCCTTACGGACTTAAGGAGACCCTTGGGTAGGCCCATAGGTCCCAAGGCATTCCCTTAGGGTGACTCGTTTCCTATGTGCTTAGGGTAAGTCCTTATGGATGCAGTTCTGGGAAAATGCATAAAGATGTTCGGTTGGAGGGTTCTACTATGGTTTTTAAAAAATATATTTTAAATTATTATTGTTTTAAAAAGATTTGTACCTTTTCACTATTTTTGGTTGTAACACACTAGATATCCTATTATGATCTCCTGAAAACTTAGTTCTCTGAATGTTTCCTCTGAACTAAAATCGTCATGTCTTTTACTCGGAGAAATATCAATGGAACCTTAGCTAGTTCCGAAAACCTATAGACGTCTGAATCAACAAGGAAAATTTATGCT